AAATAAAAACAAAATTTTACGTTTTTTTATTTGACAAAGCAACGAGTGCATCGTCGAGTGAGAACAATTACATAGAAAGTATAAAATATAAATCTTAAAAATTATTTGAACAAAAAGCTTGATATGAAGAAAAAATAGCGTCCAATACTTACTTATACTATACAATGGAGATATATTGTGAATCATCTTGATAAATGATGTTGTAACGAGCGTTTTTTTCCCTTTGATGTTATTGCATCATTAAAAGTATTAAAAGAAAATTATGAAAAATTAAAATCATAAATTATAATGTAAAAAAAATATTTTTTGACGAATTGACCATATTAATCTCCATCTTGTGGTGCATGCTATAGTATATAAACCACTAAAAATACTGCATCTACACATTTCAAAGTCTCAAAAGGTAAGTTAAACATCTTTTTTTTTGTTTTAGATTCTATGTCTTATCCTCAATCTTTTATTAAAAAAGAATTGTAGCTAATTATTATAAGGTTTACTTAAACAAACGGGGTCTTAAATAGAGAACAGTAGACCAAAATAATAAGGAAAGTGAAAATAGGGTGCTAAAATATAAAGATAGAAAATAATAAGGGGTAAATAGAGAATAGAAAATAATGGACAAACAATAAAGAATAGAGAAATAAATAACACCTATCCAGACCCTCATATAGTTAGAAAACTCGAATTGTTGACTAGCAGTTACATGACAGAAAGTTTAATTCTTTCATTGGTTTTAGGGGAAAGGAGACTTTTTAACGGGACTTTTTCTAATTCATTAGAAAGAGTGTTTTCTTCTGTTAGGGCTACAAGTTTAAACTATTTTTTTAAATATTGGAAGATAACTAAAGAGGTTTACATTAAATCAATTTTACAATGTGTCGTTTTACCAGACATTTGAACTAGTACATGACTTTGAGGACTATACGTAGACCTCTTCACTTCAAATCTATTGGTTTAGTTATTCAATTGACGTTCACTCTAAACTATTTTAAATTATATTGAATTTTTTTTCAATACTTTTTTATAAATAGAACTATTAACATTACATTTAAATTTAAAAAGTCGAAGTTGGAAATTTTCTTGAAAGTGATTTATAAAGAATGAATCCAGCCATTTTCCTAAACTATAAATTATAATCAGAGCTCACAATTCCTTTCCTCGCTCCCTCATTACACAGTGACGACTCTTATTTATGATTAAAAAGTGTATTCTAACAAATCTAAAATTGTTAGCACCTGTTAAAATCCCCAAGCATTAACTATTTGGAGGTGTACTCATACGAGTTTTTTGCCAATCTAAATTTGTCATCTTCCTCTATGAGCCATACATCAGAAATGACATTCACATATCCACTACCTGTCGTGGTTTAACTTTTTTTCTTATACTAAAGACTGATGAATGGTCAATTTGTAATTGTCATGAATATTTATATTGCATGTATATATCTAACTGAAAACAACCATTTGTAAACGGATTTTAAACACTTTCTCCTGACAATAGCGAAGACGAAAGAAAGGAATTATTTAAACCTTTTCAATGTTATTTACCGAATATGAATTTATATATCTAATTTGCAAATGAAATAAAAAAAGACAGTAAAAGATTATTGAAGAACCTAAGGACAAATCCAGAAATTTTGACAGGGGGCGTAATTCATAAAAACGTAAGATAAGCCGCCGAACGGAGTGAGGCGAACGATTTTTTGTACGATTTTATGAGAAACATGATATTTTTTTTGGCGATTAAAAAGGAGGCGTACGTTGTCTACGCCCTATCCTGGATCACCGAATGGAACCAGACAAGTTATCTACAATGTAGTTTGAAAGTCCCTTAAGCATTTGATAATACTACATACGAACAATTACAATCTATAAAGGTTTATATGTAGATTTCTTAAAACAAGAAAAATAGGAATTCTGCCATCTTTAAACACAATTATCATTAATAGATTCTAACAGTTTAAACCACAAATAGCATGACATTGAATTTTACTGTTTTACGGACATGAAACAGAAACATCGAGAGCATGCAATATTAAAACAAAAAAAGGACGTCTTCAATTATAGAGGAAGGAAGGAGTAGGGCCAATTTCCCTTTTATTTGTTTTACTCACAAGGTCAGTCCGAAACTGTACAAATCCTACTTGAATTTTAACATTAAGGAGTCTATAACATTTACTAAAAATATTGCATGATTCATAATTGTACATCAATCTATAAATTCAAAACGTCATTCATTGCTAAATGTTTCTGAATTGATGGCATTTTGAAGGAAAATTGCAAATATTACATGTCTTTCTTCTTCAAATTATGTATCAAATGAAATCGCTAACAAAAATGAATTAATTTGTATCTGAAAGGCAATACATAGGTTTAAATCTTTAACCAACAGAATACTGGTTATGGTTAATGATGTCCTTTTTATATATATGTTTGGAAAAAATACTCAAAAATCTGTCAAAATTTTTGTTTTTGGCTATCTTCAGGCGTTTATAATTTGATGGTCTGATTGAAAATAAACCGTACTATTGTTAGTAGCTCAAAGTACACTTTTTGGGCTGTGGTACTATGAATTCAAGTAAAGATTGAAGACTATTGGCCCTATCTCTTTTTTTAATACATTAACAGTAACAGCCAAACGTATTGAGTGAATTATGCTTAATCACTCCACTACAAAAGTCAAAAAGTCTGAAAAGACCAGTTTTTGTCTGAATTTGCATGAATTTTTACTCGACATTCTTAATTTGTCTGAATAATTTTTAAAAATTCTTGACATAGTATGAATTTGTCTAATAAGGTTCTTGATTTTTCTTGACAAGTGTCTTGACAGTATGAACATTGTCTTAAAATTTCTCGACACTTCCTGTATCATCTGATAAGATTCTGGATTAGTCTCGACCAATTCTTGACTGTCTTAAATTTGTCTCGATCTGTCTTGACATATTCTTGACATTCTTAATAATGTCTGAATATGTCTCGACATATTCTTGACATTCTAAATAATGTCTGAATATGTCTCGACACATTCTTGACAGTCTTAAATATGTCTTGACACTATCTCAACAGTATAAATTTCGCCTGAAATGTGAACAGACTTATTCTGCACTGTTTATGACATTCTATTGCTGTTATATACTCCTTTTTATTATGGCTAAACTAAACTTTGAAGAATCAAGGATTAATTTGGTATAGTAAGATACCCTTTTGGTGCAACTAAGTTGGAATACCCTGAATAATCCCCCATGTAGTTTAATTTTGATTTATTTTTATTAAACATTTAAGTAATTGTTTTCACTTGGAATATAAGTCGAAGGTATTGACAAACAGCATTTAGATTTTTGCCGTTCGCAAAACTGCCAGTCAAATTTGCTTTACTAAAATAGGTGTCTTGTATCTCTTTTGGACCCCACAATTCATCTTTTGGGTTTGTGTGGCTAAAAAAAGAGGGGGGAGGGCTTTCGTTTAGGTCAAAGAATTTGTTCCCATCTTGATTCAAAAACCTTATTCATTTTTTAGAACAACCCAAAAACATTTTTTATTCAAATTTGAGTGTTGAATTTTAGAATTTTTTATCAAAAATAAATATTTGTGATAACTCCTTCCTGAAAAGAAAAAAATGTTTAGATCTATATTATGCATGTCTGTTTGAGAACCGTTTCATAAGACCGATGATTTCTATAGAAATCATTGATGGGACCCATTAGAAATACATTTTTTTTATTATTCCTGGAGTAGATAATAATTTTCTTTTAATCTTTGGGAATTATTCAATTTGTTTTTATGTTAAAATAATTAACTTCATAATTTTGATGAAGAAAATCCATTTCAATTCAATTTCTTTTCATCAAAATGATGATTTTCATTTTCATCTATCAACAAACTTTTTAAATTGTAGTGGCATGGTCGGTCAACTGGTAAGTTGTATGGCTGATTACAGATAAAGCAATAACTTCTATTTGACAGTTGCTGTACTCTGGGGTGTGGAATACCTTAATTTTATGGGGAACATCCTGTCCATGTGTAATACTTAATATATTCCAACAGATGACATTACACAAATTTTTCTTCTGTTAAATGAATGATTTGTATATCATCATAATTTGCTATTTATATAAACCACATTTTGGTATAATAATTAGTTACCTTATCAACATTGAATATTATGAATGTAGAATGAAATATGTTTACAGTATGATTGGTTTGAATCATTTAATTTATAAGATTTAGGAATCAAAATTTGTAATTATTTAAAAACCCACATTGAAATTGTTTTATATCAACACACCCACATTTGAATTATTTTATACTTTAGATTTCATAGCCATATTTGCATTTATAAAAATATTTATATACCCAAATTTTCAATTATTTTACATGCCCAACTTTTATTTTTGTTGTAAAGAAGTGTAACTTGAAACAACAGTATATCATATAAAGAGAAATAAAGATTAAAGTTATATCATGAATATTGGTCATGATTTGTAAAACTCAGAACTGTCAAGTAAATTTAAGACACGATTCAAAATGTTCAGAATATGTCAAGCCATACTGAGAAAAAATAAGAATGTCGAGAATATGTCAAGAAATTTCAAGACAGTATTCAAATGTCAAGAATTTGTCAAGAAATTTTAAGACCATATTCAGAATGTCGAGAATATGTCCAGTAAATTTCATACAAATTTAATATAAATGAGAATTTGTCAAGAAAAATTAAGACACAAGTCATATTTTTGGAGAATGTCGAGTAAAAGTTCATGCAAATTAAGACAAAAACTGGTCTTTTCAGACTTTTAGACTTTTGTAGTGCTCCTTTCAAGGAACATGATACCCGTCGGGCAGTAAAATGGACCGAACGCGAACTGACAAATAAACAAATAACTAATTTAATGTACATTACAGTTTCTATAGAAATAGTATTCTAGATCCTGAGAAAATATCATAATTTACCACTGTCTATATTTCACTTTCATTTATCATTTCTATAATATTTTTTAGCTAAAAATGAAGCTCGCCATTGCTCTACTTTTCCTTTTGTCAGCCGTGTGCACAAACGCACATCTTCTGTGTAATGGCAAGGGTTGTGGATATGGATATGGGAGTGGTGGCTTGGATGGCGGATATGGTTTAGGATATGGCGGAGGATATGGTTTAGGATATGGCGGAGGATATGGTGTAGGATATGGCGGAGGATATGGTTTAGGATATGGCGGAGGATATGATGGATTGAATTTAGGTCTTATCGGAGGATATGGTGGATTAGGTTTAAGATATGGAGGAGGACTTGTGCCCGGTGCCGGACTTATTGTGAATGGTGGCGGACTTGTGAGTGGTGCCGGACTTGTGCATGGTGGCAGAATTGTGCATGGTGGCAAGAAAGGTGGTTATTACTGATATAAAGATCTTCTTTTCTCAAAATGGTAAAACGGACATGAAATTAAATCATATCCACATACACATTTCTGTAGATATACTGCAATAAAGATATAGCCGACAGCTGTGTTTTGTGCTTACTATAAGCTAAAAAAATAACGTATATTTTGTTTTTTGCTATTTTAAGTTTATATGATGTGTGTATCTGCATGTAAATACACAATCATGAACTAAGGGAGCTACCATTTGATCTTTGTAAGGGGGAGGAGGGTGCACGTGGGCTAGGATGAAATTTGAAAAAAAAAAATGCAGGACAGGAGTTTTGAGTAAAAAAAAAGGCAGGATGAGCAACTTGGCAAAAAAAAAAAAAGACAGGATGACAATTTATATAAAAAAGTCAGGATAAACTTATAAAGACACAATTTGTTCATCCTACCCCCCCCCCTCCCCCTCCCATAAAAATCAAATGGTACCTCCCTAAATGCGCAAAGCAAGTAAACAATTGACTTGTGCTGCCGCGAAAATCTAATATTATTGAATCGATTTGAGTCTGGTTGTCTGAAATGTTCGCCACTGTACGTTGTTAAACTATTTTGTCTGAATGAAAACAGATATAACGATTGCATATGAATACAAGTAGGTGCTGGGTATATTCCAATGAAACAGCAACCAATCGGCACAGATAACAAAAAGACGTACAGAATCTGTTGAATAACATATTGAAAAATATGAAAAACATATGATTTGATGCATTTGAGTCTCAAATTACAATGTCTAATTTTTATAGTTTGTTCCTATGCTGTGCTGTAACACCCCTGTCCCAGGTTAGGGGAGGGTTGAGCGCTCACAAACATGTTTAACCCCGTCACATTTTTTAAGTGTCTGTCGCAAGTCAGGAGCATGTAGTTCAGTGATTGTCGTTGGTTCATGTCTGTCATATTTGTTTTCCGTAAATTGTTTTGTTATAAATTAGGCCGTTAGTTTTCTCAATTGAATTGTTTCATATTTTTAATGTCGGGGCTTTTTATTTAATTTAATTTAATAATGTTTTATTGAATTAATCAAGCAAAAGGATTGGACACAAGTTATTACAACTTATATTAAGTCCTCTCCTTACATATACAATACACACATATGATGACAGCAAACGCATAAATGATATAGCTTCAGTTATAGAAAATAAAGTAAGGAGTCACACATGGCAAAAGAAAAAAAAAACTTTAAAAAAAATAGGGCAGAGAAGAAAAAAAAGGCAAAGACAAAACTACTGACTAGGAATGTTAAAATCTTTTTGACTGTTTAATGAAACAACGAACTTTATCATACATTTTAGAGTTAGTTTCGTAATTATAAGCATCTTTTCCAAACAATTGCGTTTCAATATCAATGTGTATATTCATATTAGTAAGATCATTAACCAGGGATATTCTTTGGTTATAATATAATTGGCATTCTAGAAAGTCATGGATGGCATCTAAAACTGGAGAACCGCAGGAAGATTTAGAATCATTCATTACATTTATCTTTTTCAAGTCTGCCTTTAGATTTAGAACTGCACTGGTGCCTTAGTCTTGTATGCAGTATATTAAATTTTCTGGACCCTCCACCATAATATGTTGGGGGTCTAAATGGCTCACCATTTATTTTTCGTTTAAATTTTGGGATGGTTGGTGCGTTTTTTATAGTTTGAATTAAATTATTCCATAATTTGACAGTAGATGGTACAAATAGCCTTTTATAGCCGACTATACGATATGGATTTTTCTAATTTCAAAAATCGTAACTTCAGTTATAGGAAGAAAACCACTAATTCATAGTCTCAGTGTTTTCTATGTTAAATTATGCAATTTCAAGCCTTTGTAGCTGTATTGCCTTTAGTTCAAAGTAAGAGGCAGGCATTTCATAGCAAATCTATATCTTATCATGACTTGTGCTGAAAAAAATCAACATATTAGAGCGCACTGGTTCCCGGAAGTTGTGTAGTACAAAAAACAGGTATCAGGAGCCTGTAATTCAGTGGTTGTCGTTTATTGCTGCATATCATATTTGTTTTTCGTTCATTGTTTTGTACATAAATCAGGCCTTTTGTTTTCCCGTTTGAATTTTTTTACATTTGTCATTTCGGGCCCTTTTATAGCTGGCTATACGTTATGGGTTTTACTCATTGTTGAAAGCCATACGGTAACCTATAGTTTCTTCTATGTCATTTAGTCTCTGATGGAGAGTTGTCTCGTTAGCAATCATGCCACATCTTCTTATTTTTATACTTCTGATCTGAGCAACAAGACAAACATACCATCATCTCATAATTCAATATATTCATTTTATCATCATAGAGAAACTTTCAAGAAGTATTTTACAGTGATCACTAGTCTTTAAGCTTTCATTTGACACCAAAATTACCATTTTACTTTTTTTGACAAAGTTACAGCTTTACGTAGGAATCATTTTGTTTAAAACATGTACTACTTTCTTGTATGTTCTTTGTGATCGGGCCCAATTAGTGGTTCTATACCTTATAGAAATAATTGTCCTTAGAAAAAGTTTCAATCCATTTTTGCTTATATGAAAACTATTATAATAGATAACGAGAAACGCAAAACCGCAAATATAATCACCTAGACAAGATCTGCAAATAAGTCAGTATGACTGCGATTTAAATTCGCATCTATATAGGAAGTATTGCCCCTCAATGACGATTTTTTTTTAGGTTCTTCTTTCCATTCGCTAGTTTGGCTTGATAGGATACAATTCAACCTCTGCACACATTTCTTTTTAAATAGAGGTTAAAGTTAACGACAAAGGTTAGTACAGCAATAATCAGACAACTCTATTAAAAATTTGAGGTTCATCAATTTGATATGTTTAACTAGCAGATTCAAATGCAAAATAGAGCGTCGTTTCGGATTTTTTTTGCTGAAATATTCAATTATGAAAAAAAAACCGATTGTAAAGTACCCACTTCAATATAGTTATTTTTATCAACGTTAAAGAATGAAGTTTAAAGTCAGAGATTATTCTTACTTTTTTAACATTTTTCGTTAAAAGAAAAAGAGGAGACGTAAAAGTATGCTTCAAACATGCTTCAAGTACCCACTTCAAATCCATTATTTCTATCAAAGTTTTGAATAAATCATTTAGGTGACATGCGACGCCATTTAACCACACTATTTCATTGAACAATATAATTAATTAATTTATTAATTATTTAGTCAATTGCTGCAGATAGCTGTAAAATGCAATCAGCTGATAATTGATTTTCTATCAAAATCGTAACGAGTTCAAGGTGAATTCCCAGTATTGCCTGATCAGGGAAAAGTTCAAGAAACCTGAAAAAAGTAAACAAGATGAATGAAGACAAACCGTAATATTTCTTTTGCCAAATTCTTTCGCCAAGAATGAATTTTAATCACCACAGTTTTTAGTTATAACCGCCAGGGGAAACCCTGATCCCATTACAGTGATTACTGGACTTCAAATACCTAATAATAAATCAGTTCAATTTTCTGTTACTGGACGCTCTTTAATCTTTCACATTTTTATTTTTGAAATTTGTACAATTAAAAATTGAAAATCTGAAACAAAGGCACCGTTTTATTGATTTGTATGTAAATATTCAGCTGCATGTTAAGTAACCATCAGGACCGTTTTATTTCATATAAAACCAAATCGATCGTTTTGATTTTAATTTACATAACATATTCTTTGTACTTTTCCATATGTACATGTATGATCCTCTATTATAATAGTTTTTGAACATCGATATCTAAAAGCGAGTTCTAACTTGTCAAATCTACTTAAACTCTCATTTAGAAAAATCAAATATCTATATAAAAGGGAAGTTTTGTTGAGACAATTAACCACTTAACCCTGTCCCTTTCATGCATTTTAGACCTTTACTTATCGAAAAGACACTATCAAAGTTCAATTGAATACTGCTTTCGCACCAAAGGTCATGCACTAGCCATATTGGACTCATATGAAAAACAATTGATCGAATATTTCAGAAAATTAAATTTGAAGATAATTCGTCTTTTTTTAGGTCACGTGACTTATTGTGAAAATGTGAAAAATACGAAATCCATTGGGGGAAAGTCGTGTAGAGGCATATTGTTGCATAATAAGGTATAGTTTTGGTGGAAAAACAATGCCCCAGGTCTGTTAGAGACAGACACGTTGTCATATTGGTATAAAAAGAGGAAATACGTGTTATATACATTGAAATATCGATGTCAATAACATTCAAAATAACTGATTTCAGAAGCTTTATTCGTGTTCAGTCAAGCAGTAAACTAAATTTAGGTTTACAAGGAAAAATTCATTGAATTTACAATTGTAATTTAACTTAATGTGGCGCACCTTGGAACGAGGCCAATGGAGCAAAGAGGAAAAAGGGGGGGGGGGGGGGGGTAATTGGGCACATAAATTCTTTTAAAAACAAACATAGATATTTGTGTATAAGATTTTTGCATGAAGTTGGTTTTCTTTTTGAAATTGAAAGTTAAGTTACATTTGATATAGGAAATAGCTTTTTCACCTCCGGTACAATGTAGTGAGATTCGAACATGCGATCTTCCCGCTGTGGGTTGGTACAGCATATCCTTACGCCACTGGCATCCTAATACCTTAGTCTCATTTTTTTTTACATGTTCCTTCATCTAAACAAAAGTTTTTTTTAACCTTATCATAAGTAAGCACTTACGAAACAATGTTTTGTTACATCTATTTCAACTTCGCTTAAAAACATCAGGATATTATTTTAGTGGTTTTTGTCTTTTTTCAATAAATTCTGTAAGAAGTGACTACTAATTTTTAGCGCATTTCAAGTTTGTGATTGCGCTGGTACACTAGAAATTACATAAGTGTACAAGTTAGAACTATTATTTTGATATTATACTGTACGTCAAAGAAGGTCGATGAAACAAGACTTAACGCCAAAAAAATGTCTTACAATTTGCCTCACCGGTAAGCTGTACCGATGTGAAAGGGAAAAAGGTTAGGACTAAAACTTCTACAGGTCACTAAATGAAACTGATTGATAAACTGCTCACTAAACGTCTATGGTAAATATGTCTTGCATATTCAGGACGATATGCAGAGTGGGTTGACCGGGTACAAACGTTAACAAAAATTAGAGTGGCCCTTGAATAAGATGGTACGTTGGACAGAGTCATAAAGTATGTCTTACAAGAATAAAGTTTAGATTTGAAGACTTCTTTCTACGATAAACGAATGCCCCTAAAAATCGAAAATTAATTAAAAGGCAACAAAGACCATCTGTATGTGCCGATTTTATTTATACATCCACATTGCAGCCGAGAAAATGTGATAATGAAAAAAAAACTAATTAACAAAAAGAAACCTTTTTATCATACTTTACGTTAAAATGCCCGATTTTGATTGGCTATATATATATAATACGAGGAAGATAATTTTACTCTATCCCATGGCTCAGCGGGAGACAATTTTTTTGAATGAATGAATTTTATTTCTCATCAACTACAAATTACATATTTACAGAGACTACATATATAAACAATACTTATTTATCAGAATTATAGCCTTAAAGAAATCACTGCATATACTCTAAGGTTTCTTTTACAATACACTTTATACCCCCACCCCTAATTCAATGTTTTAAAGAATTTGAAAACAAGACTTTAATTATTGCCAGCTAACCCTATTTGCATGTTTTCTGACATGAAATGTCTGGAACCTGTTTGAAACTATTCTGATAACAAATTGAAAGCATTTCAGAATACTATAAATGTAATGTTTAGCAGTTAATCATTCCAACATTCAAGATTATATAAAGTATCCAATCCTGCCTCTGTCTCCAGTCCACATCTTACTGTATGCCTATTTGTCAATGAAAGTTCACAATTTCTACCTCAAATGGTCAGTTTAGAAATCTTGTCACAACAGTATCATCTCCAACCATATATCTAACATAATTTAGCTAATATATGAACTAGAAGTGTTTAAACAAAGCCATATTTGCAAAAGTTGTATGTATGAAGATACCAGTCAGATGTATGAATTCACTAAAAGTTTTATAGAAATGACTGCTAACATCTGATTTTTGCATAATTTCCAAGCACAGTTATTGTTTTCTATACAAAAGACCTTTAAAATAATAATATCATAGCATTTACAAGTTAAATCATTTGTTTTATGACCCAGGGGGTAGGCATTTTTCTCTGTTTTTTGCCCCTGGGGCCTCAAATTTCCTAAATTATTCTGCTGTTTCTAGCAATATGGAATATTTAGAATATATTTAGGATAGAACACACTATTGTTATTTTTATTGAGGTACTTTTGTATTTCTAGCTGTTTTTTTTATACCGCGGTCACAAAAAAGCACATTTAGGTGTTATGGCTTACTTTTGGGTTACCAACAGGACAAAAACACCCTACCAATAATATTCAGGAAGGATCTAAGAGTTTCAATGACTGAAAGGAGTAAATATAAGCACTTCTAAAGAATTTAAATTACAAATATGCATATCTTATGAATTTATTTTGCATTCAGGGCTTTAAGTAAACTATGCATACTGTAAACTGTGAATTTATGCTGAGTCATCATAGTTAAGGCCCAGGATTTTCCCAATCTTCATGAGATATTTATAAAACTTTATATTTGAGTTAATTCCATTAAAATCTCTGAGATAAACCAGAATTGGTGAAATTCTGTATTTTCTCTATTTTCACCCAATATACTAACATTTATACAAATAGAAAACTCTATAAAACACTTTTTCTCATAACAGTATTTATCTATCAGAATCATAGCCTTAAAGAAATCACTGCATATACTCTAAGGTTTCTTTTACAGTACATTTTATACCCCCAACCCTGTTTCAATTTTTTAAAGAATTTGAAAACAAGACTTTAATTATTGCCAGCTAACCCTATTTGCATGTTTTCTGACATGAAATGTCTAGAACCTGTTTGAAACTATTCTGATAACAAATTGAAAGCATTTCAGAATACTATAAATGTAATGTTTAGCAGTTAATCATTCCAACATTCAAGATTATATAAAGTATCCAATCCTGCCTCTGTCTCCAGTCCACATCTTACTGTATGCCTATTTGTCAATGAAAGTTCACAATTTCTACCTCAAATGGTCAGTTAAGAAATCTTGTTACAACAGTATCATCTCTAACCATATATCTAACATAATTTAGCTAATAAATGAACTAGAAGTGTTTAAACAAAACCATATTTGCAAAAGTTGTATGTATGAAGATACCAGTCAGATGTATGAATTCACTAAAAGTTTTATAGAAATGACTGCTAACATCAGATTTTTGCATAATTTCCACGCACAGTTATTGTTTTCTATACAGAAGACCTTTAAAATAATAAAATCATAGCATTTACAAGTTAAATCATTTGTTTTATGACCCAGGGGGTAGGCATTTTTCTCTGTTTTTTGCCCCTGGGGCCTCACATTTCCTAAATTATTCTGCTGTTTCTAGCAATACGGATAATATAGAATATGTTTAGGACAGAACACACTATTGTAAGTTTTATTGAGGTATTTTTGTATTTCTAGCTTGTATTTTTTTATGCCGCGGTCACAAAAAAGCACATTTAGGTGTTATGGCTTACTTTGGGTTACCGACAGGACAAAATCACCCTACCAATAATATTCAGGAAGGGTCTATGAGTTTCAATGACTGCAAAGAGTAAATATAAGCACTTCTAAAGAATTTAAATTACAAATATGCATATCTTATGAATTTATTTTGCATTCAGGGCTTTCAGTAAACTATGCATACTGTAAACTTTGAATTTATGCTGAGTCATCATAGTTAAGGCCCAGGATTTTCTCAATCTTCATGAAATATTTATAAAACTTTATATTTGAGTTAATTTTATTAAAATCTCTGAGATAAACCAGTTTTGGTGAAATTCTGTATGTTCTCTTTTTTCAACCAATATAGGTTGCATTTCTGTAAATATCGACAATGCAATTTCCCATAGGAACTCCTTTTACGACTAAAACTGTACCACTTTTACTAAGAAGTTTTGAAAAAAATCATATCCTAGAATGGAAAGTTCATATGAACTACTATTTTTTTCAAAGGTCAAAATATAGGGCTGTGCGGCATATTTTCAACGTTTATATGCCCCTAACTTCTAAGAGTTTAAACTTACACTAAAATTCTTTATTACTCCTACCTTGACTTTATGGTTTCCACAGATTTCAATTTGGCGATATGCATATGTATATTTACTGGTAACATTC